GAATTCCTTGTCAGGCAGATTTTGCTCGATAAGAGGTTTGTTTATGGTTTTGATCAACTTTAGAATTTCATGTCGAGCTGATTTTCCTCGCCAAAAAGTCTTACCAAGTTAATTTTGCTCGCCAAGATGTAAGTTGCCAAGCTAATTTTGCTCACCAACTTTAACATTCCTTGTCGGGCAAATTTTGCTCGGCAAGAGATTTGTTGATAGTTTTGATCAACTTTAGAATTTCTTACCGAGTTGATTTTCCTCGCCAAGAAGCAAGTTGCAGAGCTGACTTTGCTCGCCAACGTTAAAGTTCCTTGCCGAGTTGATTTTGCTTGCCAAGAAACAAGTTGCTGAGCTGACGTTGATCGCCAACATTGGAGTTCCTTACCAAGCTAATTTGCCCCCCAAGAAACAAGTTGTCGAGTTGACGTTGCTCGCCAACTTTGGAGTTCCTTATCGAGCCGAGTTTGCTCGCCAAGAAGCAAGTTGTCGAGCTAACCTTGCTTGCTAACTTTGGAGTTCCTTGGTGAGCTGATTTTGCTCGCCAAGAAGCAAGTTACAGAGCTGACTTTGCTCGCCAACTTTGAAGTTCCTTGCCGAGCTGATTTTGCTCGCCAAGAAGCAAATTACCGAGCTAACTTTGCTCGCCAACGTTTCAATTCCTTATTGAACTAATTTTGCTCACCAAGAAGCCTTGTTGAGTTGATTTTGCTCGCGAAGATGTAAGTTGCTGAGCCGACTTGCTTACCAACTTTAAAATTCCTTGCTGAGCTGGCCTTGCTTGCTAACTTTGGAGTCCCTTGTCGAGCTGATTTTACTTGTTAAGAAGAAAGTTGCCAAGCTGACTTTGCTCACCAACGTTGGCATTTCTTGCCGAGCTGATTTTGCTCACCAAGAAGCAAGTTGCCGAGCTGACATTGCTGGCCAATGTTGAAGTTCCTTGCTGGGCTCATTTTGCTTGCCAAGAAGCAAGTTGCCGAACTGACTTTGCTCGCCAACATTGAAGTTCCTTGCCAAGCTGATTTTGCCCGCCAAGAAACAAGTTGTCGAGCTGACGTTGCTCACCAACTTTGAAGTTCCTTGCCGAGCTGATTTGCTCCCCAAGAAACAAGTTGCCGAGTTGACGTTGCTCGCCTACTTTGGAGTTCCTTGTCGAGCCGAGTTTACTCGCCAAGAAGCAAGTTGTCGAGTTGACCTTGCTTGCTAACTTTGGAGTTCTTTGTTGAGCTGATTTTACTCGCCAAGAAGCAAGTTACGGGGCTGACTTTGCTCACCAACTTTGAAGTTCCTTGCTGAGCTAATTTTGCTCGCCAACGTTGCAATTCCTTGCCTAACTAATTTTGCTCGCCAAGAAGCCTTGCCGAGTTGATTTTGCTCGCCAAGATATAAGTTGGCAAGCTTACTTTGCTCACCAACTTTAAAATCCATTGTTGAGTTGACCTTACTCGCCAACTTTAGAGTTCCTTATCACGCTGATTTTGCTTACCGAGAAGCTAGTTGCCGAGTTGACTTTGCTCACCAATGTTAAAATTCCTTGCAGAGCTGATCTTGCTCATCAAAAAAGAAGTTGTTAAGCTAACATTGCTCGCCAACGTTGAAGTTCCTTACCGAACTGATTTTGCTCACCAAGAAGCAAGTTGTCGAGATGACGTTGCTCGTTAACTTTGGAGTTCCTTGCCAAGCTAATTTTATTCGTCAAGAAGCAAGTTGTCGAGCTGACAGTACTCACCAACTTTGAAGTTCCTTGCCGAGTTGATTTTGCTCGCCAAGAAGCACGTTGTTGAGCTGATCTTGCTCGCTAACTTTGGAGTTCCTTGTCGAGCTGGATTTGCTCACCAAGAAGTAAGTTACCAAGCTAACCTTGCTTGCCAACTTTGGAGTTTCTTATCGAGCTGATTTTGCTCACCAAAAAGCAAGTTGTCGAGCTAACTTTGCTCGCCAACGTTAAAATTCCTTGTCGAGCTAGTTTTGCTCAATAAGAATCAAGTTGCCGAACTGGCGTTGGTTGCCAACTTTGAAGTTCTTTGCCAAGCTGAGTTTGCTCGCCAAGAAGTAAGTTGTTGAGCTGACCTTGCTTGCCAACTTTGGAGTTCCTTGTTGAGCTGATTTTACTCACCAAGAAGCAAGTTACCAAGCTGACTTTGCTCACCAACTTTGAAATCCCTTGCCGAGTTGATTTTCTCGCCAAGAAGCAGGTTGTTGAGCGGAATTTGTTTGCCAACTTTGAAATCCCTTGCCGAGTTGATTTTCTCACCAAGAAGCAGGTTGTTGAGCGGAATTTGTTTGCCAACTTTGAAATTCCTTGCCGAGCTGATTTTGCTCGCTAAGATGTCTTACCAAGCTAATTTTTCTTGCCAAGAAGTTTTTGCTGAGTTAAATATGCCCGTTAAAAAAACAAGTTGCCAAGTTGAATTAGCTCGCCAAGAAGCAAATTGCCGAGCTGACTTTGATCGCCAATGTTGAAATTACATGCCGAGCTAAGCTGATTTTGCTTGCCAAGAAGTTACCAAGCCAATTTTGCTCCCAACTTTCGATGGAAAATTGATTATTTGTTTAGTTGAAGAGAATTCTAACCGAGTAGGGGACATAGTCTAAGGGCAATCCATTTAGTCTGGGTCACTGCTTTACCTTTGTAAGTTTAAGGCAAGAGCCTAGACTGGAGGGGAAGTTGTAGAGTTGATCTCAATAACTTGATATTCCTTGCTGAAGAGGGTTTTTCTCAGCAAAAGGGTAGATGATGGATTTTATCAACTTTGAAATGCTTTGCCGAAGTGAATTTTGGTTGCCATAGAAGGATGCCTTGCCGAGCAAATTTAGCTCACCTAAAAGAAAAACTCCTTAGCGAGCGAATTTAGCTCGCCAAAAAGAAAGACTCCTTAGCGAGCAAATTTAGCTCGCCAAAAAAGGATGCCCTGTCGAGTGGATTTAGCTCTCCAAGAAGAAAGGCACCTTATCGAGCAGATTTAGCTGGCCAAAAAGTGATGCACTAGTGAAAGCATGTTTTTACTAACGAAATAGCAGCAACCGTTGCGATCAAAAAAATTGAATTTTTTGAGAGAGAAAGTGAAAACCAACTACTCCAAAGTCTAGCCCAATGGGGCCACATGCTTGTTTGGTAGAAGATAGCACATGAAGAAGCCAGAACTGAGCTACTATACTGTGACAGACCGAGTTGTAATAGACTGATCAAAGAACCAGGACAGCAGTATAAAAAAAGTTGATTGGCCGAACAAGGGTCTTGGCTGGGCCCTACCTAACAAGATGATCTTCAAGTACTAATTTGTCTTAAGTCTGATTCACAGACATACCGAGATTGGTTAAAATGATGGAGGGCCGAGTTATACGATATGAGAGTGCACCGCTTTGAAGACATAAACCAGGCTAGAGATTTAGCTCGGCAGGATAAGGTAATCCCAGCCGCGCTGAAGCAGACGGGATTAAGGGGCAATTGAGAATGAGGTTTACATCGAGTAAATGGGCCATGCTAGTTTGGGCTTGGGCCATGTCATCGAGTTGCATGACCGAGCTGGCATAACTGAAGGCGGTTTGGACTGAGGTTTTGGAACACGCAGTTAAACTAGTCCAAGATCTGAAAGTTAGACTGGGCTAGTTGTTAGCCTTGGATCATGAGCCAAGCTAGGCAAAGTGACGATGCTTTCGACCGGGCTAGATGCACTTGTTGTGCATCGGGGTCAGGTAGAACTTGCCTTGACGAATGGATAGAACTCAACAGAGCGAGTGTGGCATGCCGAGTTAGTTGAACATTTCAGATATAGACTGGCAAGAGTCAGCTCAGCCTTGAGGGTTAAGGCTGGAGAGCTAAGTAAGACCGGGCTGTATATAACTCGGCAAGAATAGCCACGTGGCCCAATCAGAATGTGATGAAAGGAATCCACTAAAGGTGCACATCAATACCGTTTGGTGGTTTGGCCAATGTTGTTTGGCAGTATTGACGCGCACATGTGTAAGGAATAGAGAGAGCAGCACAACCACTCATCTAAAAGAGGACGACAGAAGTAGTGCGTGCACAACCTTCGGAGGTGGGGCAACAGCCTAGATAGGGCATGCGACCTTACACTCAGAAAGGCTAAGCGAATTCTATCAACTCTCTCTCTCTCTCTCTCTCTCTCTCCACATTCCCTCTCTCTCTAAAGTGTGATAACTTGATCGTTTGAGGGGTTTTCCGGCTTCACACCTGTCGAGTAGCTCACTGTAGTTTTGCTCTCAAATTGAACGACTCTGTTCGGAGCTACATAGAGCTTGGATCCAAGGAGTACGGAAAGCAACGAATATTTCCTCCTTGTACAAAGTCCATTTGGCAGCATGCATTTATAGTTTTAAAAACTCTGATTTAAAGGCTAACATATATATATATATATATATATCTTAATATATATATATATAAGATATTAGACAAAAATCAAAAACAAAATACAAAATGGTCCATTTAGCTAGATGTCATCTCCTAAATCATTTTGAGTATAGTAAATAGACATTTCCCCTCTTGATTTCAGTCCAATTTCTGAAAGAACATCATGAATTGGATTGAAATGACACCTTGAAAACTCAAGGGTACAACTGATACAATTGGACTCATAAGATTATATTGACAGAAGAGGACAAATTATAGGGATCATTGCCTTAATTTTTTGTTTTTCTTGTTTTAGTTTTTGTGATCCATTGCTCTGTTACACTACTAGAAATGAGGCTTTTAGAGGAGTTTAAAAAATGCCGCTAATTCTTTTTGCGACGTTTAGTACCAAACGTCGAAGATGCGGCCGTCGCTGTATCTTTATGGCGCTCCAAAAGCGTCGTTATATGAGAATAGGCAGCGTTTTTAAAAACGCCGCTAAATGTGTTACATAACAGTGACGTCAATATTTAACGACGTTTTAAAAACATCATGGTAGCTTTTTTCTATTTTAAAAATATAACACTATAGTGGCGTTTAAAAAACACCGTTATAGCTTCATTTTTCTTTTTTTCTTTTTTCTTTTTTTAAAAAAAAATTGTGCTAATTTTGTGATGCATAAGCCCTCATAAACACCTTGGCAAGTACAGTAGCAAAAGGAAAATAGGCCTTCAACTACAAACACAAATACAAAAAAGAAAAAAAAAATCAAATGTATTTGTTTCGAGAGAACATACATAAATATGGTGCCAAGTAAATTCTGACCGTGACACAGCGCAATACATCGCATAGCCATTCAAGAAGAACAAACAAAATTTCATGCCAATGTATTACACAATACATTCCTGTCTTGCAGGTAACAAGATTGAAGCATCATCTTTAGAGTGCAGGTAACAAAATTTCCCCCACAAAAATGTTGCCATCTTCAGCTCTGGAAACTTCAGGGCCTTGGTTCTCTTTTGAATCAGGATGTCCCTGCTTCAGAGGTGGGGGAGGTGGAGGTAGGTTTTCTCTGTAAGTTCTATTCTTTAAAATTTCACCGTCAGGCTTTGACACCCTCTCATCTTCAGCATATTCATTGCCAATAATTGCTATCCTTCCTGTTGATTTGACAATGTGTTACATGCAGATGGAAATTATAGAGGTCAAGAAAAAAGAAAAAGTAATGCTAAAAACACTAACTAGTGTAGCAACAAGCATATCAACTAAGACACAAGACATACATGTGCGATCCACCACTTGACCTAGGACTCACTTAACATTGTGTCTAGTTGGTACATTAGTTATGTTTGTTGGTACATTAGTTAGTGTTTTTAACATTATTGGAGGGGGAAAAAAAAGGATACTGCATTCATTACAAAACAGAATCAAATAACCACCACACAGAAATGCACATATACAGAAAACAAAGTAAGACAGCAAGTGTGGAAATCCAAAAAAGTAGAAACCTCTCACCCTCCCTAGGAAATCGAAACTAACCAATCTGATACCAAATGGCTGACACCATAGCATTATAATCCATGCATGCATTGCATGAATGGTCACATGAATTCTCTAGAAACTTACCCTTGATAAGAATTAATTAAATCACTATAGAATTTCCTTTCTGAGAAGAATTTTGAATTCATACCAGTTTGTTAAGAGCAATTGTATTCATGCTAATCAGGGTGGCTATGTTCCCATTTACCCATTAGACCAGAGTTAACGTTTTCGTCATGTTCTAAAGCACAGATGTGTTGAATATGCTCTGAAAAGTCTCATGGATTTGGAATTAAATAGTTACTTGGAATATCATGCAAAAATACAAACCAAAGTGACAGTGGCTAACAAGTTTTTTTTCAAAAAACAGTATAACATACCTTTCACTTCTCTTTCTTTCTTCTTTTTCTTGAGAACCTTCCCAGATGATCCAAGGCGAAGATATGACATAATTTTAGCAATTCAATCTAGCACATAACCATCAACACTGACAGTAACCATTTCCTGTAATATACGTAAAGTTGAAAATTAAATAACTGGAATAACACCTAAGAAAATTTGCAATAAAAAGGAAATAAAACATGTGGTCATGATACATAGATCAAATAACTAGCAGCTACATGTTAATCCTTAATTCCTTAATTCTTAATATGTATCAATACACAAACAAAAAGGCAAAACATGTGGTGAAAAACACTCTGAAAGCCAGAAATCTGCATAAAAATTCAGTTGTCATACAATTAAATGATTTGAGCATGATTGATTTGCTTAAGCGAACCACGAATAAGAAATTGAAGGAGAATTCAACTCAGAAAGGAGTGGAAATTTCTAACAGAACCTTGGCATGTCGAATTGTTGCATTGCATAATGAAATTCTTTCAAATTAACAGAGAAATTAGAGAGAAAGACAAGCTGCTCCAAAATGCCAAAATAATCCGGACTGGCTGGGAAATATAGAAATTGCCCCTACTCAGAAGATATATGGAAATTCATTTTAAGAAGAAATGCAGCCTTTAGGGAGCCTCAGGAATAGAACAGGGAATTGCATTGAATAATCCAAAATAATCAGAGGGAAAAAGTTAATGTCAACACTATACATACTATCTCTTAGTGTAGCTTTATACCACATCTGGAGTGGAAGGAATCTCCAGAGCTTCAATCTCCACAGGACACCTTCCTCAACACTAATTCAAAAGACAACTGATGATATTAGAACTGTGATGCAGCTTTTCCTTCTTTTTCCATCCTACCAATTGTAAAAGGAGTCACGGACTGAGAAAGGAAGACTATATAGGCTTAGTAAATATAGGGATTCACCTACAGCTCTACTATTCAATGTATATCTTCTCTTTTGAGAGATATGATGCTATGAAGCATGGGTACTACAATTACGTCGTACGGTATCCGGTGCTGGTCTGCACACATAGTAGGTACCCAAAACAAATATCCAGTACTGGAATAAATATATTGCGTCTATTTTTTAAAAACTTCAAAAAACCATAGTTGTCAAATTGTGAATCGAAAAATAATATTTAAAAGGGAAAAAACCACTTAATATTAATCCTTAATTCCTATGTAAATTTTGTAATCAAAATTTCCTAAGAAAGAAGGCGTTGCAAGCTTATTACCATGAGACACAAGTTGCTCGCAGCTGAGGCAACAGCCTATTGTAATTCTGGATCCATTGCTTCATAGTTGGAACCTACATATTACAAAAAACATTGCAACAAGAACATTACGACAATCCTATGAAATCTGGAATCAACACATTGTGTGCCATAAATGCTTCATAGTTTTTTTAAATAAAATATTACTTTGTCCCAAGTGTTCCCTTATGAGAAAAAACCAAACAGAAAAAACCAAAATAGGTTTAATCATGTTCTTCTATCGTGTTTAAAATGACTGGTTGAACATGATAATAACAATAATCTTCTATGGTCCATTTTGAACATGATAATAACAAGAAACAATTCATCAAAAATGACTATCCCCTATGGTTTAATCATGTTCAAAATGACTATTTGGCCAACTGTTTCTAGGAAGATTAAATAACTTAGAACCATTCTAATGCGCATTGTAGCAGAAGAGTCCAGATCCATTTCACCAAATCCTTCTAAAGTTCTAATAAAATGTGCTGTCTCAGGAAGTACAGAGTTTTTAAGAAACTGATAAAAGTGGAGATAAAAGAATTGCCAGAACTGCCTAACCAATTATTCTGAAAGACCTAGAAATATGACATACTCAAGACAAAACTACAAATTAACAATGATAAATTATAATGACAAAGGTAATAAACAGAGGCATACTGGACACTCAAGACAATAAAACTTGTGAGGAAAAGTAAAAGAACAAAAAAGAGACTCAAATTAGAAGAAGAAAAAAAAAATTACACCATCCATTGTCAGACCAGTAGTATTAACACCTGAATGGAGACCCATCATATATGGTGTAGGAGCATCAATATAGTTTACTCCACTGAAAAACATTAATGGAATGTAAACGTGCTTCAGCACAACAAAAGGATAAAGATTAGATGACAATCCTTTCAAAGAATCAAATAATGCATCAGTACTAGGTAAGCACATCTAGTATTAACCAAAATTTCTTAGCAGCACTTTCTAGTTATAATTAACAATCGATGTTGACGTCATATTACAAATATGAGCTATAATTAAGAATCAATTTTCAAACTATTGTCAACAAATCCATAAGACAGTTCAACTAACCTTATGATGATGGATTGATTCACTTCATCTGCATGATCCATGATAAGAGTAGAGTCAGCAAAATAGATTCTTTAGTAGCAAAGAATAAATAGATGAATATGAGCCCTGTTTTTTTCTTCAAAATCCCTGCAAGTACTATTTAACTCACCTCTCATCATTTCGTTATAGGCAATATCTGCTAGAGTAAAAACATGAGGATTGTCAAAAAGCTTCTCCTTGTAAGCTGTGATAAAATCATTTCCAAAACAATGGACATCTTTGAAGGGATTGATTGCTATTAAAACAGGTCCGGCTAAACAACACAAATAATACTCATCTTGTGGTTAATTGAGAAAAATATTAAATAAATAACTATCATGCTAGTTTAAGATAATTTACAGAATGTAAGTACAAGGTTCAAATAGGAAACCACAAACCTGTTCATGTAATCCCATAAGCCATCAGATGCTAATAGTATAAATTCTACAAAAGGTCATCTCATAATCGTATGCTTGATACCTGCAACACTGTGGCACAAATGTAGAAACAAAGACCAAAACAATAAGAGCAAAACCTTGCATGTCAATTTAAATGTGAAGAAGCCCATTAAACTGAACAAAATATGTTAAGTTGAAAGTTATTACAAAACAGATCAGCACAAAAGATGCAATTCAAACTAATTATACATACAAGTACTATGAAAGACCAATGCCTTTCAGGTTTAATTTTTCCCAGGAGTGTTTGTTTCCTGAGAAATTGTTGGGGTATTGGTTACCAACAGGGGAGAATGGTTTGTTGGGGATTGCTTGACAAAAAACTCATAGTTGCAAGGTTTGAAGAAAAGGCTTGCCAACCAAGTCTCATTCCAGATCCAGCTAAACAGTACGAATAATAAAGAACAATGAAATTGAAGACTAACTAATCGAGGCTACATACAGTACCAAAATGAGAACTTTGAGTAATTATGAAACCTTAAAATACGTGCCTTCAACCTAGCTGCAACATTACCAGTGATCTATCAATTTCGTGGCCCGATGATGGACTAAAAAGAAAAGACCTCAATTGATAATGGGTGATGGTTCAAAACATGGGATCAAGGGATTAGAGATTTTTCTATTGCTTGGCAAAAAATACACTATATATTTATATATAATAAACTATGGTTCAAAATATATTTTGTGGTCTGTAAATCTGAACTATATAATAAACTATGGTTCACATATGATATGTCTTCCTTCTTTTGCATGTGCCTAACGAAGAACATCAGAGATTTGTCAAGCATGTTCATTTGTAAAGGGCATAGCATGTGTCCTTGTCATTAGAATGGAACTCATAGATCCAAATTCTATCCTAATTTGCATGTGAAATGAATTTCTAGATAAATGCAAATTTATGTTTAATATATATGGAAATGAAAGCTTAATCAATAATGATAATAAATTATGAGCATAAGGAGATCTGAATTATAAGTGACAAAATCTCAAATAACAAGTAAATAATAATTAGAAATCAAAAGGGCACTGATGGATGAAAAGGGATCAACTACTTGCATAACCCTACAAATTGAACAGAGCATTTTGAAAAATACAGATTGGCCAACTCAATTGTTTCAACTTCCAAGGAAGCAATCAAGATTTTTGAAGTTCTCCTAAAACATCAACATTAAATAGGTTACCCTATCTTATATAATTAAAAAATAAATAAAAAATTTCTAAGAAGGACTTACAATTCTAATAAGGTTCTCAAGGCAGAGCACAACAGAACTTTTAGTTGCAGCAGAGCAGACTGCTAATTTTTTACCCTATAACCATCAGCCGAAAGGCAAATATGATAACAGAGGGAAGCATAGACAAGTAGGGTTCTTCATGTATGAAAAAGGACATGGAATTTAACAACTTTGGAAAGAATAACTAGTCTTATAACCTAATTAAATGTGGATAACAGATGCAAATTCAACAAAAAAACTTAAGAACCGTGACAAAGTGATAATTGCATTTATAAGGTAAAATGTTCATCTTACAGCGTCCTTGGCCTCATCCATCAATCTCAATACTCCAGGTCTGGGCTCCACTTGCCCATTAACTCAAATCCATTTTCTTCACAATCACTCATCCAGAATAATCACCCACATAGATGAACTAACAAATGAACTAACAAGTAATCATAAACGAAGAATACAAAAATTTGTACTTACAGTCCCAGATCTGATAATTTCTTTGTATCTTTCAGTTTTCCAATCCTACAGATAGATAACCCTAAAACAATCAACACAACCAACTAATTGATGATACAGATTATAAATCTTTTCAATTCCACGAAATTAGCACAAAGATTGTGCACTAGTATAGAAACTCAAAAGGTATGGAACCTTTTCTTACAATCTGCTAGGTTGCTTAAAAAAATACAATGGGAGAAAAACCATATGAACGATTTGCATCGTAAATGTCCCTTGATTTGCCCTCTAGAAACAATAACTCAACTAAAGTTTAGAAAAGAAGGTTATTTTGATAAGTAATCTCCATTTATAAAATAAATAAATAAATAAATAAAAATAAAAATAAATCATGGAAGCTTTCTTGTTTTCCAATTTCCTCAGTATCTTCTCGGTAGCCAAACGCATGCCTAATTCTCAGTATTTTCTCAGTATTTTCAATTTCCCCAGTTTTTATTTGCACATCTAAAAGGGGAACCAAATTGATAAATGAATATATATAATATTTATACATATATAATATTTATATACATACATCCAATTTCCTCACTATATATTTATATATAATATTTATACATATATAATATTAATATAAATCCATCCATACATATTTATTTATACATGCATCTTGTAGACTAAAAGTTTGTCATCCATAGTTATCCTAATCTATTTCATTTTAAGTGTCCAAGAGAGGAAGACCAACCTTCAGACAGCGCTGATCTTGCACAACCTGTTTGGCACGGGCCCTAACCTCATCTGGATCAATCAGTATGAGATCTAAAGAGAGATAGAGAGAGAGACGGTGGAGCTCGCTACCTCGCCAGTGCAGATGACGGTGGTGACGGAGCATCGAAATCCCTCTAAATCTCGAAATCGATCTGAATCTTCGAAAAAGCTCTGAACAGTCGATTGATATCGATTTGAATCTTCGAAATCGCTTCGAAATCACTCTGAACAGCCGATTGATCTTTCGAGAGACGAAGCTTCTTCGTAGAGTTATCTCCTCCGTCTTCTTCGTCGCTGAGAGAGAGAGAGAGAGAGATGTATGCGTATAAGATAAGAGAGAGGTGTGCGTATAAGAGAGAGAGGGCTCAAATTAAAAAATAAGAGTTTCAGAAAAGGGGTGCATGTATGTACCGCATTTGGAGGCGCTTTTAGACGCCTTTAAATAGAAAACGGTGCCGTTTTGGTTAAAAAAATATGTGACGGTTATAAAACGCCGTTAAAAATTAGAAAAAGTGACGTTTAATTAAACGCTGCTAAATCCCTGATTTCTTGTAGTGTTAGTAGCGTTATTGATATGTCATTGCATTGGCCCTATTTGATATTGTTTAAAAAGGTTGATTATAACTTAATTTAATTTGAGAATTTGCGTCAGACTAGTTAGTACAGTTTTTGGTTACAACTTATTAAGCAAAAATAGTTTAAATAAGCTAAAAAATATGTATCATCTGAAAGTTAGAGGAGGAATACTTTTAATTTATACTTTATAATTGTCAGTTTTTAACTTACAATAAGTTGTGTCAAACAAGGACATTATACCTGCTTTTGTTTTGATTTTTTTTTTCTATGCTTATACCTAATTTTACATTAATGTTGCCTTAGAAAACTGATCATGTAGATTACAATCCTCTAGAGAATTTGAAGGTGTTATGCACCAATTTGGACTTGAATGATATCAGACAGGCGATTTTAGTTCCTTTCATTTTTAGAGTGGCCACCATCTCTGCAATCTTCAAATCATCAATTAGGTATGATGTTCAAAAACCTTGGATATTTCGAAGAAAATTTTAGTTATAGGGTTAAATACATTACTATTCAACAAAGTACATGTTCTATATAATTTTAGTTATTGATATTTCAATTGCATTAATTTAATCAAAAACTCTTTGAATTTGTATTTAAATAGTTCCAAGTGCCGTTTTCATACAAAAATTTGGATGAAAACAACATTGAGATAATTTAAACACAAAACATAGATATTTTTGTCCAAGTTTAGATAATTTTCATGGAAACAATACTAAAACCATATTAAATTGACACAATTAAAATATCAATCAATAAAATGAAATTGAGCACGTACTTTGAAAATTGACAATTTATTTAACGATACAAATTGATTTTTCTCCATCAGGTGAGCAATGAAGTCGGCCAAAAAAATGCTTCAGAAAATTCCCAACTTCCATATCCAGAACACAAGTATTGGAAGGAAAAGCAGCTTGACAGTATCTCAAATCACTTGAGGGCGGTCCAGATTGCCGGTTTCACTAGCACAGAGCGAGAAATGAGGTTAGTTTCTCATCTCATTAGGAATGGCACCATGTTGGATCAAGCTATGGTCCAATGCAGTGATGATTGTTCAAGACAAGGAAGAATAGCCACAATGGCCATGCTATCCCTGCCTATAGGGCTTCTTACCTAGAACATTGATCGTTCCAGTACGTGGAACGGAAACGGAAACGGAAACGTGGTACGTCAGATCCTCTAAAATAGGATACGATTGGGGTAGACTTTATATATTATACTTAAGAATTTAATGTACTTTTAAAGTAATTTTTTTTAAATTATTAGACATATAATACAATGTAATATTTTCTATGAGTATTATGACCTATTTTTTGATTTTTTGTCTTGTCAAAACTTAACTCACCTTAGATTTTAGTTCATTATATTTGATTTTTTTCCTCCTAATGTAATATTTAAGGACATAAATTAAACAAAACTTTTGGGATCGTTTTGGATTACGAAATTTACCATTTTGGAATGAAAGTGTACTATGTTTCGGAACGTGCATGCCAATACATAATTCGTTAGAATATTAGTATTTTCTAGTAATATAGGTCTGTATATTCCTCAAGCCTGGGAAGGACTATGTGGCCAAGGTTGGTGATGATCATTTTCAAAATGGGGTATTGACTCTCAACTAGTAGTTTGCTAAAATATCTAGGATGTTGTAAAATTGAATTTCAGAAACTCGGAACATTATGTTTAAGTGTTGTATTTTTTTTATACATATTTTAACTCTGTTTTGTATTTTATATACACATAAATTGTTTTGGAGAATTTGAAGAGACCATCACTCATGTATCCCTTACCAACATACATACCACTCTTTGTTAATACAAATTTATCAGACTCAAATACAAGCCTAAAACCATTTTTACTTAACAAAGACTCAGAAACTAAATTCTTCCGGATGTCAGGTATATGCAGTACGTTGTTGAGGGTTAGTTCTTTCCCTGATGTCATCTTCAAGATCACTTTCCCTTGTCCAGCCACAGTAGAAGTAGAGGAATTTCCCATAAAAAGTTGTTCACCATTTGCAGCCTCATTGTAGGTAGTGAACATCTTCTTGTCCGCACATATGGTTGACGTGTTTGCTTCCACTGTGTCAACCACCTCATTTGGGGATTTTCCAACCAAGTTAGGCTCAGACACCGATAGCAGAAAGGTTGATGTCATTCACCCGTCAGAGATATAATCAATTCTGTTACATTGGCCTGATTGGTGGTCTTCTACTTGTAACTTCATGATCCTTCTTAGGGCGGCGAGTCAGAAGCTCGATGTTCCAGTTTTGCAAACAGTTATAGCATTTTTCCTTTGAACTTTTGCTACTATCGCCTTGTTTAGGACGCATCTCCAGTAAACCTTTCTCTTTTTGTTATGTGGTTTATGAACTTGTTCAACCACATTAGCCTTGGACTCAATGGATTTTTCCCATTCCTCTTTTCAGCTTTCAGTTTATCTTCCTCAATTCTTAATCTTACAATCAATTCTCTATAGTCATCTCTTTGCATTTATGTTTTAAATAATTTTTGAAATCTTCCAAGCCGATGAAACTTTGTTCCACTAAAGACAGCGACTTGAATGACTCGCTAAGAGACATACCTTCTGAATGAATATCATGCAAAATTATTTGAAAACTTTGAACTTGAGATATTATCTTTGGGAGTTACCATAACAAAATCCATAAATTTACCGACGACAAATTTCTTCGTGCCGGTCTTCTTGTATTTCTTCTCCAAAGAATCCCACAATTCTTTTGCTTGTTTTGCAGAGACTGTATACATTATACAGGCATATTATTTAAGGCCATTTAAGGATGTAGTTTCTGCACAGGAAATCTGAATGTTTCCAAGCATCTACAGCGGCAACAACTTGCCGATCACTTTCACTCTTTAAGTTGCTGGAGCCTCTTCATGGAGAAACCGGGCCAAATTAAGAGTCGTAAGATAGAAACAGCATCTTCTGCTGCCATCTTTTAAACTCGGTACCGTTAAATTTTTCCCAGTTTTTCTCCATATTATTGGTACATGGAACATGGGATAGGGACCTGATGTAGGTGTAACAAATAGGAGTACCACTGCCAGATGCAGTTTTCAGTTGTAGTAGCCATAATCTTCTGATTACAATAAATCAGAAAAAATTAAAACAACAATATTAATTTTCTAGTCACTAAAACAGAAAAATAAATTAATAACACAAATAATTTTATTTTCCTAGTTACTTAAAACTATAAGAAAAATAAATATCACAATTATTTCTTGTAATACCAAATAATATTCTGGCAATTGTTAATGACACCAGTATTATTACTACTAGTTGTCAAAGAAAAGAGACAGTTATATTTACTACTATCTGTCAAAATGCATAAATAACTATTTGTTTTTTCCAACCAGAATATTACTTTGAAAACACAGAAAATTAAAACAATGAAAATACCAAAAAAGGAGTCTGTCTTAAGATTGTTGACAATCTTCACTTATTTAAAAGATTTAATTCTATTGTGTTACACAACAACAATTAGAATTTAAAGAAATAAGAAAATGAGAGAATTTGTTTGATTACAAAAATCAACTCGAAATAAAAAATAAATAAATAACAGATTTTATTTTGTTACAAAAACAAAATTTAAATCTGATTTTAATAAATAAAAACAACACTGAAAATAATTAAATAACTTGCTTGATTAATTTGTTCGAATTATTTTCTGATCAAGTCTAGTGTTTGACACTGTTGTCTAAACAGATTCGTCCTCTCCACCGTGCTTTTAGAATTTGACGTCTATCTCCCAGGATTGAAATGATCTTACCACAAACAATAGCAGCACTACAAATTGTTGCCTACGAACACACTAAGTGTTTACCTTCTTTCTTTCGGAAATAAAATGCAGCAAGATGAAGAATATAATTAGCAGAAGTGAAATACGAAATTTCTGAATGCAAAATATCAAATGAGGGTGGTCCTATTTATAGATGTGAAGGTGGCTCTAGGCCTGACGTTAAACAGGTATGTAGCTCTTGGTTTTGAATTGAACAGGTATGATACCTGTTGGTTTTGAATTCAAACAGATTTGAATCTGTTAAGAATTCAAACAGATAGCAAAAAACGGGAAGGGCCTGTTTGGGTGTGCATTAATCCCAAACTAGTTTATTTCTGTTTGAAAACGG